ATTGATTATGAAATATAATTTTATCAATGTATATCAGTGAATGGATGGACCCTACATAGGATCTACTATTGAAGAAAGATACAATATTTGATAGCATACAATGCCTAGAGAACCAAAAAGTGCCACTAGCAGTATTCCTGTTTGAAGGAGAAGCTCTATTTGAAGGAGAAGCTGAGGGATGGTGGATAAGATAATAGTTGGATAAATTCTATGGGAAGATGATGCAGAGATTACCTAGGTAACGTTTGTTTCTATTTTAAGATATTAATTCGTGCCTCCTTCATCCCAACACCAAGCACATGAGGCTTTTATGATATTGAAGCATGAAGACACAATAATGATGCAGTACGAAGTCAAATTCAAATGCACTAGCAAGGTTCACACCACAATAGATTAGTACAACAGAGGAGAAATGCTACATATTTCTTAGAGGATTGTGAGATGAGTTAAGGCATCCACTTATACTGATGAGGATTTAAGAGTTTTTAGAATTGGGTGAGATGGCAAGAATGGTAGAGAATGACTTGGCTATCTCACAGTTTAGACAAGATATGAGCATTAAGAGATTGGGAGATGACATGATCAAGAGATGTAGCTGTGAAAAGATAAGCAATTTTTTAGAAAACAGGTGAGGATTTGAGCCTAATGTTTTTAGTGTACCAGAGTGTGCTCAATGCGGTAAGAGACACACTGGGTACTAGAGTGTGCTCGATGTGGTAAGAGACATAGACAATCAGACATTGATTGGACTCAATATTAATATTTTTATTGAATAAGTATAATATTAAAAATAATTTAAAAAAAATAATTCATTTAACTAGAATTTAAGCTTAAAATGATTAATATTAGGGTATCGAGAGTCGAACGTCGATGTCGTGTATCAAACATCAAAAGAGGAGACTACAATATTGTTGAGAGTTGAGCTTTGATGTTCTGCAGTAAGCATCGGACATTGATGTCAAGAAAGTGTTTATCGCAAAATTCCGACAAAATTTACGTCAGAAACTTGTAGCAAAAAAAAAAACCCAACTTTCTTTTGACATGACTACGAGACTATTGTCTCATATTATTATCTCAAAAGTCTTATATTTCTATTTACATGAAGGTGTTTGATCATATTAAAATGTGGAAGGTTGGCACATAATAAGGATCCATTTCATTTCAGTTCTGATAGTTGACTTGCTCACATTTAATAATATAAGTCCATAGTACTTTGCAAACAAAAATCCAACCCCTACTAATAAATGACTTGCTAGTTTCATTATTATTCAAAACAAGCTTGGCAGATTTGAAATATTTGCTTCCAAATTTGACATCCATATTTACGATGGAGGCATTCTATTTTTTTTTTGGGAAATTTCGGGGCATAGCCCATTTTATAAAAGATAAACCAAATTACAAAGTTCAGAACCTAAATAAAAAAAAACAAGACTAATGCAGGAATAAAGAACAAACAAGAACCAAAAATACATGAATAAAAGAAAGAAAGCAAAAATTCTCAGCTGTCTATAACCTATAAAGACTGCAAACTAGCTAGACCACTATGGAATCTCCAGATAACAGAGAATTAAAAACATTATAATGAATGAGTCGCCATTCTGAATCCAGAAACGGCCTTTCTTGAAAAAGAATTTTCTTTACGCAGGTCTCCAGGTTGTCATTGATGCACAGTTCCAAATCATTTGGTAGAAGACTCCACATCAGCAACACAACCTTTCTTTGATTACTCTAGCTTCTGCCAATCTTCTCCCCATGTTAGCCTTCAACAAGAGATGTTGAAACCAGGATTCTCCAAAAGTGTCCAGTTGTTAGTCATTATATGCAAGATTGAACAAATAAGATGTGGATGGACATAAATGCATAAATTATAAAAAAATTTGCTACTATATGTTAAAAGAAGTGAAAGCTGAAATGTAATAATTATAAACATAGAATAAATTCTAAGGTCAGCTAAATAGAAAAATAACTATAACTAATTTTTTAATAAAATTTAATGGATGATATAAAAAAAAAAGAAAATGATTAAAGAGATGAAGTTTTGCTTTTCAAATTTTGATGAAATGAAGTTAAACGATCTAAAAATGACCTTGAACAATACTGGGTGAATGAGAGACTGATAGAGCGATTGATTAGAGAAAAAATCATGTTATGAGTGGGAGTGGGAGGCGGACTTGGGATAAAATAGAGCATTTTCTTGTGGAATTTCTTATGAAATTTATGTCGGAAATTAAATAACATTTAAAGTAAAAAAAAAATTCCAAAATCTTTTCCTGCATACTTAATTACAGACAAAAATTTTGGCTAAAAAATTTCGCGGAAAAATCGTTGGGAATATGCATGTATCCTTGGAGGTGGATAATGCACAACAAATTTATAAGGTCTTGCATATAATATTGTTTAAAACTTACATCCATTATTCAATAATAAGATTTTTATATAATTAGACCATCTGAATAAATATTTTGATTGCATCTACTTATCCTATAGTGATGACAAGTTTTTTACTCCTATAAATTAAGTGCTTGTCATTGGCTAACCTTGTTTATTTTTATGTTATTACACATTGAGGTTATAAAAATTTTCTTTAAATATTTTTTTAATCTTTTTTAGTGCTTGTAGTTTCAAAAAATGATTTTGATTAATTTGAAAACATGCTTCAATCATAATTTTATGCGTACACGTCTATATAACTTTATAAACATGTCGAAAGTATGTTGTACTTCGATATGAGAAAATGATGAATTTATGTCACATAAGTCAATGTTGGGACAATTCCATAAAGAAATGTCTTATTTAAACCCTTTCTCCACTCTCCATCCTCTATCAATATTTGAAATGGTGAATTACTTTCATATTTTTTTATTTGTTATTTGTACGATATTTTTTTTCCGTGAAACCTTAATCTCAAACTAAAGATGATTAGAATCCCATTTAATTGTAGAGAAATACTTTATTGAAGCCTTATTTCCTTATGTGAAAATTTTCTTTTGATAAACAAAGGAGATATATACTTTCCCTACTATTCTTAGGTGTCATCTATATGCTCATGGTCTCCATGCTACTTATCCATCACAAACATATGAAAATCTCATGTAGATGAGAGTATTGAGTTAAAAAAATCTGATTTTTTACACCTGATCTAATTTGCTCAATAGTTTGGTGTCCCTTTCTCCTGTATAAATGGTTTCCGAGCTATTCAAAACCACTTCATGTGATATATTTGCTGCATTTTGAGATAGCTATCTCAATGAAAATCTACCTCTATTTATAAATTTTAAGCATATTTTACTAATTAAATGATCCAATTAATTAGGAATTAAACCTTTTAATTTAATATTAACTATAATAATCGAATAATAAATTTAAATGAACAAAATTGTTAGTTTATGCATAAATTTATGCTTTTTAAAATGTCCATTTAATGCTAATAAAGATGAACAAAAAATTTTTTTGGCTTAGTTTCTTTTTATTTATGGGTTTGTTGAAGGGGAGGATTGCTTCGAGTTTTTTGTGTGATAGAAAAGTACAACTCAATCTTAAGGAAAAATTTTATAAGATGGTGGTGAGACTTGTAATGTTTTATAGCACAGCATTGACCATTAAAATAGAAGTGTAATATTAAGTTAAGTGTTGCTGAAGTGAGGATGCTCAAGTGGATGAGTGGACTTACTCTTAGAGAGGATATGAAACGCACATATCAAGCAAAGGTTGGAGTAGTTCCAATGACAGATAAGATTAGAGAGAGTTGCCTTAAATGGTTTCATTAGGAGAGTAGATATATTAAATTTATCCTATGTTAAAAAAGGTAAAGAAAGATCTAAAAAAACTTAGTTATAAAATATTAGAAATGAATTTTCTTTAATAGATTTAAATGAAAATTTGACTATTAATATGACATAATGGAGAAAAAGCATTCATTTAAGAGATGTTTGGTTGCCTAAAATGAAAATGCAGCATAAAATAAATGCAATGTAAAACAAATATAATGCATTCCAAATACTTTGAGACTGTTTGATTGTCTGCAAAATAAACACATGAGAATTATTTCCCTTGTTTGGTTAGGTAGATACAGAGTAAAGTAAAAGCGAATTTTTTATAATAATTTATTTTGGCATTACAACTAGTGCATTTATAAAAATAATGTATTTATAATAATTAATATTATTAGGTGTTATAAAAAAAATCAATGTATTACATTGCACCTTTTCACTACCATCGCATGACCAACCGAAGAAGTTTTCTTTTCTTTTCCTTTTTTTTTGCAATGTGATTTTAATTTGATCATCTTTAGTTTTTATTATTGTACTTGATGATAACCCAACACTGAATTGACTATCACACATTGGTAGCTACATAAGATTGGGTATTATCACTATATATAATTAATTTGTTGTCATGAAATATCAATGAGTTGACAGCAAATAAAAAATGTGTGCTATTTTCACCCGCATGCACTTACACATGAAACCATTAAACTATTTAATTAGTGAGGATATCATTCCACTAAATCAATCAATTTTTAAAAAAATTATTCCAGCAGTAAATATGCATGACCAAATTATAAATAAAGTTATTAAAGTATCTAAATGTACAGAAGATCTCAAAAATATGATACACTAACCTAAATACAATTGCTTTCAGGCAACCATGAAACTAGAAATTGGAATTGAGAACCACTACTTTATTCATCATAATTGTAAAAAACAATATCACCAAAAACATTTTGGTCCATCATCACAATAAAACATAAGCACATTTCACAGATGCTCCTTCCTATAATATTGTCAATAAATGATCCTTCTACCAGTTTGTACCTTTCGACATTACAAGCCCAGATTAACATGTTCAATTTTTTTTTTTCAAATTATCATATTTAAGGAAAGGGTTATGAATCCCCTGGTTGCCCAAATTGGCCATCCAAGGGGAGTCGGTCTGGCAATATAAGGGAAGCTCATCATTGTCCAAGGCATAACAAGAATCCCACCACACTAACTGAAGCATTAAAGAACATCTAAAACTAAAATTTTATTAAAAAAATCTGAAAGCACATAGCTACACAAGTTATTGTATCCATTGGTTGCCTAGTAAGATAGTTGCACAAAGACCATCCAAGCAGATCTACCTTCGAAATATATTAATAGAAGCTTTTCGTCATGGTTCAGGAGACTAGGAGAGCAAAACCACATATATAAAAAACGCATGAAAACCCTTCCAAAATAATTTAAGCAAATATAAGACCATTAACAAGACACAGCATAATCAATTTACAAAAGATCCTTGATATCAGCAGAGATTTTTGCACGCCAAGAACCTAGACTGCAAAAACTTAAAACTTAAATGACAAAAACAGATATGCAGATCTACTAACTTGAAATTGTATCAAGGGGAAGCTGGAAATTACTTACTGAAGTGAGGGTTAGCAGCTATCCGAGCCTCTTTTCTCCTTCAGTGAAGAGATTGAAGCCAAACTTGCTATGTAGAACCTCTTCTACGGAAAGTCGGAGCTTATGCTTTGATGGATTTCTTCGTGAAAGGGAAGCTGGAATGGTGTACCAGGGAAATTACTTACTGAAGTGAGGGTTAGCAGCTATCCGAGCCTCTTTTCTCCTTCAGTGAAGAGATTGAAGCCAAACTTGCTATGTAGAACCTCTTCTACGGAAAGTCGGAGCTTATGCTTTGATGGATTTCTTCGTGAATCCGGCCGAAGAAGCGAGCAAAAGAGGAGAAATATGGTTACCTTTCGCGGCAAGCTCCGGCGCGACTTTAGATCCGACAGGAATAACATCGTAGGAGGAGGAGAAGCTTCGGCTCTTTTACAACTCTACTTCAAGCGTAGCAGAACAACAACGAATAAATGCAAAAGAGGAAAAGCAAATCCTCGACAGGCAACGGCAAGCGACTCGTTGAAGCTTTGCCCCATGCGAACCAGCAAAGCCAAAGAGGAAAGCCCTACCTCACGCGAATGGCAACGAAGAGGAAAGCCCTAACTCCGTAAAATTGAAGCTCCGTGAGGATAAATTGATGATCTGGAAAGAAATGTATTGCTCTTCTGCGAGTTTTCTCCTCCCTCAGCAAGTATGATATCCACTAGAGGTTTTGTAACCCGCTCAATTTGAGGGGGTTTTGAAGTCACACGAAAGGCCCTTCGCAATACACAAGTGATACTTCCTAGGAATTACTTATGTTCGGCTCAAAATCAACCAAACCACCAAATTTAAGAAATACGTGTAAGTTAATTACTTTACCCACCTAATTCTGCATACCAAACAACCCCTTAGCCAACCTCACATAGTGAGATAAAGACTTGATGTTGCAGTTGCCTATAATCATTTTTTTAGAAACTATCCAAAAGGGATCAGCATAAGAATTTTTTAGCATCACATAACAAAAAGAGGTAAAATATAAAGACATTCGAGAAGATGAAAGCATGCAAAAGAGCATACCCAATGTGTAAATCTGCACACAATATTTTTCTACGTGGATTAATGTCTACAACTTTATCTAAGTGCACTAAGATATTTTTGTGACAATTTATAAATTAGTAAAGATTAACAATGAAGTGTTAACAAATAATAACATGTTAAAAACCATTGGTCTCTATGACATACAAGTATTATTTTTTTTTGTTAATTAGGGATAAGGGATGGTTTTAAATGTGCTCCCCATGTTAATGGGTGTTTTGACAAATAATATATTTGATAAATATGTTATTATGACTAATAAAAAAATATAACAAATCAAATGTTTTGATTTATTCACTGTTGCTTTTTTAATACAATGACGATAGCTTTTATAACAAATGTTTGCTTTCATCAATAAAGTTTCATGGGTCATGTTTGTGATCTCTATTAATAAGCTTTCTTTCTCGTTGTCAGGTTACTCAATTAGTTCACATGACATCTCTCCTGCCAATGAAAACAAACCTCTTGTGTTTAGCATTCCCGACCTTTCCAGCACAGATCGTTGCATCCTCGATGTTTCCACTAAGGTTTTCCACACTATCAGTAGCTCACACCTTCGAGATGCTTTATGTTTGTACAACAAAGGAGAGTGGTTGCTGATGTGTCATGAAGAAGAAGTATGTTTGAAACAATATTAAAACTCATTATTTCTTCTCAACCCTCATAGTGGGAGCAGAATCGACATGCCGGGACCATTTGAAAATGGTCATTTTGCTTTCAATCTTACTTATGGCGAGAACCCACGACATGTTATCCATGCTAGCTACAAGATCACCACTAGAAGTGTTGTCATTCGAGTAATTCGTCCCTATGACAGTGCCTGGGAGGTGCATGAACTTGTTAATTCTCATCAGGATATTATAATCTCTTCCGCATTAGTGATTGGGAATCAGGTTATTTGCATTGACAGTAAAGGTGCAAGAATTATCATGCTTGACTTATCTAATTACAGTTGGACTTTTCTATCTAAATGGAAGATGTTTCCAAATCATTCAGAATGTTACTTCTTTGAGCAGGATAATGAAGTTATGTGTGTCAGTTGCCCTATTATGAGTTGCGACTTCTTTAAATTTTATAAGATTGATTGGCAGATGATGGATTGGATTGAGATTAATAATGTTGAGTTGATGAATACCAGTTGGTTTTTGAGTCATCCGTGATCATTCTACATGAAGGGAGGTAAAGGAAAATATGTGTACTCTTTGGAAGGTTTTGCTTGGTGTGGAGGGCAACCAGGAGAGCGTGCACCTCCTACTTGGCAAACAATTCTTTACTTTAGAAGCGATGGTGAGGATGATCTTTCGGTGAATGTGTTCATCCACAACATGGTTGAAGGTGACATATAAATTCTTTTGCCTGAAAAGTATGGCTCTAAAAAGCCTGCATGTTGGATGGATAAACATATACTATATTAAGCATGCTAATGTATTCTTTTGAGTTTAACATAGAATATTTCTTAACAAAAGTTTGCTGTTGTTTTATTAAAATTTATATAGTTTACATTTATTTAGCTTAAACTCTTCTTCTTAGATATTTCATATATCTTTAATTAAAGAAATTAATATCAGCATTCAATATCTTATAAAATGAGATCAGTTATGTGTAAAGATCTCAAATGATTATTTGAATGTTTTACAAGGCGGTGGTGGAATAAAAAAATGCTTCACGTACATTAAAAAAAATAATAGATCAACTGCTGAATTAGAAGAGTATGAAATTGCTTCCTTAATCATGGTGAGTTGAATGAGTTGGTGAAAGACTGGCTGATGCGAGGATCTGTAAAGGACTTTCCCATAAAAGCTTCAACTATTGCCTTTTTAGATTTCTTTTGAGACAACTTCATTCTTGCTTTTTAAAATAATTTTTTTAGAATAAAATTTTTTGATTTAGAATTTTTTTTACTAAAAAATTGATTTATAAAACAACAAAAAACTATCCAAAATAAAACCTCACCTTTTATATAAGAGGTGTTTATCATTACCTAAGAAGGGATAAATCGACAAAAGGTGGTTGCAAACGCTCTTCATGGAGCTTGATGAAAACATTCTCTATCAAATCTTCATGCTTCACCTAAGAGTTTCTTTGTCTAAAAAAGATAGATTTGACTGACAAATACGTATGATGAGTTTCTTATGTATATTTTTTTTAAATATTAGATAAATAATGGAGGAGATAATTAACATAAATTTTTCATTATAATTATCTTTTTTCTAAAGAAGCATTCAATATGTTGAAACAATAATTTAATTAAAAGATACAAAATTATTCTCAACACATTCAAAAAAGAAAAGATTATAACACTATAAGCCAGAGAGCACAGACCAGATCTACAAAATCAAATAAAATGAAATATATTTGAGAAGACTAAAAATACAAATATCTCTTAATATCTTAAAGGTTTCATAATCTATTACAAGCAAAATGAAAAACATCGTCCCGACATAAGTTGAGCACGATATTTTTTGTGTACTAAATTTAAACATATAACATTATACATAATCATTTATGCCAATAAAAATATTATTTCTACCAAATTGTGCAGGTGTTCGTGCCGTGGATAACACTCCAGTTTTTTAAGTATAATAAAAAATCATACATTCCAATATTTTCAATTTAAATACTATAAAATAATATTATATTGTCATCAAACCACACCTTGAAACACATAGAAAAATTACGTCACTCATATCTAGGAAAAACTAAATACAAAGATTCATTACATACTATAAAACTAGCCCCTAAATAAAAATGTTGAGAAAATAAGCCATGTTCATAATCAATTTTGCCATTATGATTTGGTGGTAATTATTTAAAACACCTCATTCTCCATCAAACCACCAGATAGAACCATCTTAGATAATAAGACGACATATGTCTAATATGAATGTGTTAACTCTTATACACATCTATTGAATATTTGAATATTTAATCCATATATAAATGTCAATCAAGGTGTAATCATCATATAAACTTGAAAAATACTAAAATAAAAGTATTATTGTTCATTGTGGTTTCTAAAAATATTTTTTATGAGATAGAATTTGAATTTAACATATATTATATTTCTATTACTATTATTTGTCCTATGGATAGTTTAAAAAAATGAAAAATATGTGCATTCTTACTCATTATCCATCCATTATTAAAATAAAGCAGCTTATCGACATTCAAATTCATGTTAAAACTTTGTCGTATGAAAGGATAAAAAAAATGTTATATTAATAAATAGAGAATTTCTTATGATAAAAAAAAGGTTTAAACTTTTAGCTTCTCTCTTTGTTTATTTCTTTTTTCTTTTTGGCCTATCAACTTTGACACTATACATGTAAAAAAAGATACAATGTAAAAATAAATAGATAAAAATGTGATTAAAAATTATTTTAAAAATAAGTGCTAGTAACTTATTTAGGTTTAAAAAAAGAAAGCGGCAAATTGACAATTTGTTGAGGTCTTGTCCAATATAACTAATTGACTTCGTCTGTATTATTAACTTCATATGACTATAAAAACTAGCAAAATAAGTATAATATTATTTCATGCTCTTCAATAAAAGAATATAGAAAATGAGTAATCTAAAGTTAGGTTAAATACAACCTATATAATTATTATAATTAGACATGTAAAAATTATTTTAAAAATAAGTGTTAGTAATTTATTTAGGGTTAAAAAAAGAAAGCGGCAAATTGACAATTTGTTGAGGTCTTGTCTAATATAATTAATTGACTTCGTCTGTATTATTAACTTCATATGACTATAAAAATTAGCAAAATATGTAAAATATTATTTCATGCTCTTCAATAAAAGAATATAGAAAATGAGTAATCTAAAGTTAGGTTAAATACAACCTATATAATTATTATAATTAGACATGTAACAACTTTTTAATAAATTTATTATTTTACATGGAAAAAAATTAAAATATGATAGTCTAAACATTTAAAATATTAAAAAAATAAGTGATCTCTCATAAAAAAAGCCAATCTATGGGAAAATAAATTTGTCAAGGTCATGAATTTATATTTTTGTAATCAAACGTTTCATTGAAAATAAAATACTATCTCAAAAGATAGATATAATATTCGTCAATGGATTCAAATACAAAAATAATTTTTTTTTCTTATTATTGTCATCAAATCTATATAAAAAATGAAATATCACCTCCAAAGATAAAAACTATCATTTTTTATGAATTCAAATATAATAAAAAAATATTATTTAAATTTAGAATTATTTTCCTTGCATATTAAAAAAATAAGATAAGATTTATTTTTAAGATAAGTTAATGATTTATCATCAGCCCAAACCCTTTTAGTTAATTGCATCTTAGGAAATAATCTTTCTTAAGAAAACTTTGATTAAAGATATGACAACTAAATTTTTTATCTTTCTAACATTCTGTATAAAAAATATTGATTTTGACATTTCAAATGAGATTGGTTCAAATTAGAAACACTTTATTTTATGCATTATAGGAAGAAAAGTAGGAGATTTACAATATTGAAAAACTTAGTAGTGTTTCAAACTATATTTTTGGGCTTTAAATTTTTGGTATCTAGACATTTTAATTTTGAGTTGATCATTTTATTAGAAATTTAGAACTTATATTTAAATGAAACAAGATCAATGAAAAACCTAGGATTTATATATTTAGTCAATAAAGAGATAAAACCACAAACCCTGAATCTAAGTTGAGCACATCACTATGTAAATGCTCAAACCAAAATCTAAAGAAATGTACAGGGACTTATAATATCTTAAATTCACTTGAAATTGAAAACAATCTAACTCTATTAAACTTACAACCTAGTTGGGAATATTGCAAGCTAAACTCATTCTAGAAATTTTAATGCCGTGACATTTACTCTCGATACTTTATAGGATGAATATGCTGTAATTTAATTATAAAACAAGACATACAACTTTGATTTTCTAATCTAAGTTAGTTTTATCAATGAAAGGCACTTACTTATATAACTAATACAAGAAAAGCTTTTTTTTAATAATTTCTTTTTAATATTATAATATAAATCTAACATGCAAAAATAAAACTCATGAAGTCTAATTTTTTAAGAAAAATTCGACAATTTTGCAACTTTAATCTACTAAGGAATAATTGACTTGTTGCTTAGGCAGCTCATAGCTGTTGGAAGCGAGTGTGAGATTTTTTATTTGAGTTTTTAATATTGCAAAAATGTAAAATTAATGCATGCTTGTAAAAAAATGAAGGTTAATTTAAAGGACAAATATATTTTATCTTAAGAGCTTAATGATTATAATAATCCCAAGCTAACCACAATCAAAAGAAAGCCTAGGAAAAACAATTATTTCTAGCTTGCACATTGAGGCAATCACACCAATCAATCAATTTAAAATGAAATGATATAAACAAGGCCAATATGGCAAGTGCCACTTATTGTAACCTACCAAGTAAAATAATGTGGTAACCGTGCTTCACCTAAAACAACTTGAATTTCTACTTCTAGTAGACTCATTTTAATTATTTATAAGATTCTCAAAGGCTTCACTCTTTTTGTTGTTCATCCTTTAAGCTCGTTTTTTATTTCTTCAATCCCACAATTTGTATTTATAATTTATAGCTCTTTTGCAATGTATATTTAAATTCTAAATCAACTAGAACCTTTTTGTTAAAGAGAGGTTTGCTACAACAATTTATATTTACATCAAACTTAGCCAAACTTTAATTTATAGTTTTATACAAACATAAACGATTAATGATAAACTTCAGAGCATTCATCACAGGTACAATCAACAATGACAGTACTTGCATGCATCCAATAAAATCATTTAAATCATTGTATAGAAAACATATCCAAGTATAAGGTAAAACATTCGACATTCAAACAACCTTCTTATCCTAAAGTTGAAATAAGTTTTTCTAGCATGCAAACTAAAATACGTGCTAAGTTGTATAATATGGTTAATCCTATTAAACTTTTGAGTTTCATTTTCTAATGTTTATTTTTTTAAGGGTCCAAAGAAAGTTTATTTAAATTTAAATTTTAACATGCAAAGAATTTTATTGAGATTTTTAGTATTAATTGTTTAAATTTCATTTATGATTTTTAGGAGTGAATTGAACAATGAACTCATAGTGCATTGAGTTCAATGCCCTTATCAAACACATAAATGCAATAATCTCATCCGCAAGGATAAAAAAAAAAAATCTAATCCACAAGGATATGTAAATGCACGTATTTATTTTAAATGTTTTAGGTATTATAAAATTTTTATTTCAAGTGTCCAAAATTTATTTTAAAGAAAATTTTAAATTAATTTGAGTCCTAATGATTTATATGTACTACTAAAGTTAAAAATATCCTCCAAATAATTTTATAAATTTTCAAGATTTTGTAATTATAAATTTTAATGAAATATATTATTTAGTTCATATTTGACTTAAGTATTCTTTAAACTTATGTTTTATAACCGAGTTTAAATTTGACATGCATTTTTTAATTTTATGTTTCTTTAATTACATTTTGAATTATCAATTTATGTGACCTTGAGATGAACCGGTTAGGAGAGTAGAGGTATTAGATTTGACTTATGTTAAGAAAGGTAGGGGTAGACCTAAAAAGACTTGGTTAGAAAATATTAGGAATGACCTTTCTTTATTAGATTTAAACGAGAATTTGACTTTTAATAGGACACAATAGAGAAAAAGGATTCATGTAGCCGACCCCACGTAGTGGGATAAAGGCTTGATGTTGTTGTTGTTGTATTAATACTTTTTATAATTTAAAGAGTTCACATAAACAATTATAATTAGGGTTTAATATTTAACTTATCAAATGAATTCAAAATATTATGAAATTTATTCTATGAGTTATTACTGTCCCAAAGATCAATCCCAAAAAATGTTTAATGTCATGTAAGCATAAATTGAGTTAATGATTTATTAAAATTAATGTTTGAATTGATTTGAATTTTTCGTTTGATTTTAATCAACCTTTTTATTTGTTATTTCTCTAATTCATCAAAAGTTGAATGCAAGTGAGTTTATACGTTACGAATTTTTATATAATTTATTATTAATTTTCAAAATTCGTATTTATTATTAGGGTTTCATACAAAGTAACTTAATGTTTATTAATTAGACCACCAAATGGTCTCAAATCTTCATGAAACTTTGAATTTAGGTTAAAAATGACCCATGTTGAAAATCTTAAAAGTTAAAGCATTTAGAGTTATATTTTATTTTTTAATGATTTGATAAATATATTACTGGTATACTAGAAGTTTGATAAACTTGAGTTTATATTTTTAAAATTCCTCAAAATTTAATTAGATAACTTTAAAATTCTAGGTTAATTAATTTTTTTTTAAATTCTAGGTTAATTAAGTTACTCTACAAGACTAAGATTTAGGATTTACAAAATTTATGATCAATCGAATTCAAATCATCATAAGATTAATTATATAGATCCATAAGGACCTAAGGAACATCTCATAATGATTTGAATTCATATGCTCTAATATAAAATTTCTAAAAAAATTTCTAGGCACCTATACCTAGGGCTTATGTAGAATATTCAGGAAAATCTATATATTGGGTTGGGGTGAAATTAATGGTTATATAACACAAGAACAAGAGAAAATTCATTGCAAAAAACCCAATGGATGATGATACATGAATTTCCAAAGTTCTATATCAAATAATGATCTAGAATTTTGGAAATTTGATTCAGGGTAGAGAGCTATTCAAATGGTTAAGAGAAAAATTTAGTAGTCATATCTTTAATCAAATTTTTTTTAAGAAAGATTATTTTCTAAAATATAATTAATTAGAAGGGTTTGGGCTGATAAGAAATCATTAACTCGGCTTAAAATAAATCTTATCTTATTTCTTAATATGGTAGGAAAAAAAATCTCTCTAGGGACGAACAAAGAATGAATTCTAAATTTGAATAATATTTGTGTTATTGTATTTGAATCCATAAAAATGATATTTTTAATATTTAGGGGTGATATTTCAATTTTTTGTAGATTTGATAAAAATACTAAGAAAATAATTTATTTTTATAAATAAATCCATTGGCTAATACCATATCTATCTTTTGAGATAGTATTTTGTTTTCAATTAAGTGTTTGATTACAAAAATAAAAAATGATAACCTTGAACAAATTTTTTACTTTCCCATAAATTGAATTTTTATTTTTTTGTTAGACATCATTTGTTTTCTTTATATTTTAAATGCTTAAACTATCATTATTTATTTATTTTCCTCGTAAAATAATAATTTTATTTACAAGTTTGACCATGTTTAATTATAATAATCATATAATTTTTATTTAATATAACTTTATATTACTCATTTCGCCCCATTCTATTATTAAACCAAAGTTACTAACACTTATTTTTATAACAATTCATTAATCACATTTTTATTTATTTATTTTTATATTGTATCTTTTTTTGCAGGTACAATATGAAAGTCAAAACCTGTAGGCTAAATAGAAATAAGAAATAAATAAAAAGAAAGTCATATGAAGTTAATAATATAGACGAAGGTAATGACTATAATGGACTATACCTCAACAAATTGTCATTTTGCCCCATTTTATTATTAAACCCAAGTTACTAACACTTGTTTTTATAACAATTCATTAATCACATTTTTATTTATTTATTTTTATATTATATCTTTTTTTAGGTACAATATGAAAGTCAAAACATGTTGGCTAAATAGAAATAAAAAATAAATAAAAAGAGAAGCTGAAATTTTAAATCATTTTCTTCTCATAAGAAATTCTCTATTTAATAATATAAAAAATTTTTATCCTTTAATCTGACAAAAATTTAATGTGAATTTGAGTGTCGGCGAACTACTATTTCTAATGGTAAATGGATAATGTGTAAGAATGCGCATACTTTTACTTTTTTTGAACTATTCACCAGACAAGCAATAATAATAAAAATGTCACATATGACAAATTCAGATTCTATCACACAAAGAGTATTTTTAAGATCCCCAATGAACAGTAATAATTTTATTTTAGTATTTTCAACTTTATATGGGGATGAGACATTGGATGGCATTGATGATGACCATTTGATAGCTATATGAATTAAATATTCAAATTTTAAATGGATATGTAAGAGGGTTGTCACATTCATATCAAATATGTGTAGTCTTATTATCTATGATAATTCTATCTAGTATTTTGATGAAAAATCTAGTATTTTAAATAAATTATCACTAAATCATAATGGCGAACTTGATTATATAGTAAGCTCATTTCTTCGACCTTTTGATTTGGGGGTCAGTTTTATAGTATGTAATGAATCTTTGTATTTAGTTTTTCTTAAATTTAGATAGCCTAATTTACCTACATGTTTGAAGGTGCGGTTTAATGATACTATAAGAGTATTTTATATTATTCAAATTGAATATATTGGAATATATAATTTTTTTATTATAGCAGAAAAAACAGGAGTATCATCCAGGGCACGAACACCTCAACATATTAATAGAAATAATATTTTTATTGGCAAAGATGATAATGTAGAATGTTCCATGTTTAAGTTTAGCGCACAAGAAAATATTGTGCTAACTTATGTCGGGACGATGTTATTTATTTTCATTGTAATGGAGTATGGAACCTTTAAGATATTAAGAAATTTTAGTATTTTTATGCATATCAAATATATTCCATTTTATTTGCTTATTATAGATCTGGTTTGTACTCTTTGGCTTATAGTTTTTTAATCTTTTCTTTTCCGAATGTTTATCCTATGTTAGCTATTGATTGAATTTATTTTATTGAAAGGTCAAAAGAAGTTTTATGTTCAGATTTAAGTTTTTAGTACCTTTAATATTTTTCAAATTTTATTTTAGATTGAATTTTAATTGTTAAGGTTGATTGATAGGATTATTTCTTTAGTGTATTTTAATTAATCATTTTAATCCTTAAATTATTTAATTTAATTATTTACTAAGTTTTTTTAATTATTTATTAGATTTTAGATGATTTATTAATTTTAAAATGGTTTATCAAGTTTTTAATTATTCATTAAAGTGTTATTGTTTTATTGAATTTTAAAAAAATTTATTTAATATTTTGATGATTTATTAAATTTGAATAATTTATTGAATCATTAATTAATTTATTAAATTGTTAATGATTTATTACTTTTTATTTATTTATTTAATTTTTAATGATTTATTTGATTATAAGATGATTAAAATATTAATTAAATTCAAATTTAATCTCTTAATGGTTATGTGTATTAATTATGATTTAATTATGAAAGGTTATGTAATTTGTGTATTTTTATCTGAATTATTATGAGTGTATTTGAAATTTTTATTAATTAATTGTTTAATTTTAATTAGATTTAATTAAGGCTATATTAATAATATACACTAATCCTAAGGGGAACGCCGCTAAGTTTTCAATGTTCTAAGTTTCCATCCTAAAATGTGCATGCATCATAAGTCTAAATTTTATAAGATTCGGTCCGTAATTTTTATCCTTAAATGTCACTAATATTGTATGAGGTGAAAAATTTTATTATCACTAACCTTTAGGACATTGTGCACGTGTAAAGGGAGTTATAGATTTAAAATAAAATAAAAATAATCCTAATAAAATTGAAGTTACTAAAGGGACCTAAAAGAAAAGGGTTTGCACAAACCACACCAAGGGCCAACTAAGGCCTTTTTAAGTTTTAGAATACTTACAATTACCGGGGGCTATGACCCAGTGGTTTCGCCCATAGCACCTCCACCCGGTTGGATGGAGGCGACTGACACCTTTAGCCCCTTGTCCTTACGTTCACTCAACCGGTACCATTCCTCGTAGTTCATGCAAGTAAAGAAAAGAAAATAAGTATTAGAAGCACATTTAATAATTAATAATAAAATAATTAAAATTTACTAAAATTAAAAACATGCTTTTCTTCAGGCTTGAACACAGTCTTTATTGATTGCGTTTTGAACTTTCCACTTTTGAACTCATATTGTATATCTTTACAAGATTTACCCCGAGGCATAAAAAAAAGGGAGTAAAAGGGGAAAAGAAAGAGGTAGAGAAAGAAAGAGAGATTGCTTTCTTCAACACTTTCATCTTCTAATAAAATTTCCAACTAACTCATTCTTTAACACAAACTACTTTTCATCTCCTTTTCCAAAAATTCACATACTTTCCACTTTCAAGACATACATTTCTTCATTTTCCAACATTCACTTGACTTTCGCACATTTATATTTCTCAATTCTAAAAAATTATACAAACTCCACAATTTCCCTTTTCCAAACATATAGAAGTCACCTTTCATCTTCACTTTTACACATTTTGTTTTTCAATACAAATATACACTTTATTTTCCAAAACTTCCCAAAAGATATACATTTTTTTACTTTTCAAACACACACTCTTGAAAATACTACTTTTCAAAGCCACACATTTCACTTTGCACTTTTCAAAACAGTTTTTACTTCGCACAAAATCAATCATTTTTACTTTTCACATACACATCTCATTTTCCCAAAAATTTTCACCTCATCTCCCAAAATCACTCTTTACCTTTCAAGATAACACATTTCACTTTCCAATATCACTCACATATACCTTACTTTTCACATACACCTTTAACTTTCCAAAATCACTGACATATACCTTACTTTTCAAGCTACTATACTACAGAAAGCATCATTGCAGCATACAAGTTCTCATAAACCCTTCCAACAACAATAATGAGAAAGAATAATTGATGCCACCTTACTTTTTCCAAAGACTCATGAAAATTCCCAATCTTTAGTAAAAGAAAAGCAACCTAAATGTTTTTGATCCTTTTAAGAGAGAAAGAGATCGGAAAATCATTCTGTTTGAGTTTTGTCTCAAAATAAATTATTAAGAAATGTGGCGTGGACATTATCAAGCCAAAAGAACCATAAAATATTTCTCCCAAGAAAACTTAAAAAAGAAACAAAGAACATGAGGCGATATATATATATGCAACCATTGATCTATCAAGACGAATCATATGTGGATTTCAACATTTATATGCGGCAAAAATAATATTCAACCACATTCTATATTCAAACAGTAAGAAATCTATAATGATCTCAACAAGTTTTCATCTCAGAGCAAACTATTAAAAAAAATTATTCCAAAAACATCTCTCAAACAAGAAATTCATTGTGTACGAAATTGATTTTGAGAAAATGCAACGTACACTCATCTCCTTGTCTCATATTAAACAGAACTTTAAAAAAAAAAAAATTCAAGAAGATGGATATAAGTCTTCTTTTATTCCAAAGAAAGGGATATCTATTTCTCTTATTCTTGATTTCAAAAGAAACCTCCATTCCCTTGCTACAGAACCATAAACCCCATTCTCCCTCTTATCAATTGCATGATAGATGCAGCCATATATATATAAAGGTAAATCCATTAATCGTTAACGATTTTGTTTTATATACAAGAAGAGTAAAAGGTTTGTTTGCTACATCTTGCTCTTGATCCAAGTAAGAAGTTGAAAGGTTTGCTAGGGCTTGGAAATAACGGAGATGCAGAAGGAGATAAATGAGAAGAAGATGATGGGGAAAAGGGTTACCAGAAGCAATGAGAGGATTGCCGGAGTCATCTAGGGCAAAGGAAATGAGGGCTTCGGCTAAGGTTGCTGTCCACACGAGCAAGGGGGAGAGACCGGAGGCTTCGGCTTTGCGAATCGAGAGGGCGACGGAGAGGGCATGCTATCTTCGCGAGAGAGAGAGCGGCGAGGGCCTGGGGGTTCGCGAACTGAGCCTTGGCGATTTTTTGAACTGCTTGCCTTTCGTTTCCGCCAATAGAGCAGGAGCGAGCGGTTTCCGAAATAAGAGGGGGATGGAGATTTGGCTAAACCGGCCTAATCGCACGCCTCTTCTATCTCAATTCAAATCGACGGTTAAGATCATTCATCATTTTTTAAAAAATAATCTAAGGGTTAATTTTGAACAAAATTACAAACTAAATTGGTGAAATTAAGTAGATCGAGTTGATCAATTTTAACATAATTGTAGCCGAATTAAATGTAAAGTTTAATGAATTTGGTTTTAATTTTATTATAATGATTTTATGTGCCTCGAATCGATATCCAAATCTCTAAAATTATATCGAGAAAATTTATATAGCGTTGGTTGAACCCGTCAAATTCAGAATGCAGTCGAATCGAATTTAATTAGGCTTGACGATGCTCGATTAGATTTATTATATTCAGATCCAAATTAGATTCATATTGAAATGATTTTGATTTTGGTTGAATAATAGGGTCGAGTCAATGTTACTTCAGTGGGCATCCACATAAGGGAAATCATAAAAGCGACGTCTATACTAGGCTACAAAAACCTAGGTGCTACAGATTGATTCCAGAGAAATTGACTTAGGATAATGAGATCAACACTTATCTCCTCAAATATTTATCTAATATTAAAAAAATATACATAAGAAACTCATCATACATATTTGTCAGTCAAATCCATATTTTTTCATACAAAGAAACTTTCAGCTGAATCATGAAGGTTCGATAGAGAATGTTTTTATCAAGCTCAATGAAAAGCATTTGAGACCACCATTTGTCCATCTATCACTTCTTAGATAATAATAAACATCTCTTATATAAAGGCTAAGGTTTTATTTAGGATAATTTTTGTTTTTACTTTCTAAAGCAGTTGTACTAAAAAACTGTTTTAAAAACAAAAAGAAAGTTGTCCCAAATAAAGTCTAAAACGCAATGGTTGAAGCTTTTATGGGAAGGTCCTATGTAGATCCTTGAATCAGCTTGTCTTTCACCAACACATTCAGCTCACGATAATTAAGGAAGCAATTTCATAGACTTCTAATTCAATAGTTGATCTATTATTTTTAATGTATGCAAAGCATGTTTTTTATTCCACAAACGCCCTGTAAAGCATTCAAATAATCGTTTGAGATCTTTACACGTAACTGATCTCATTTTATAAATTATTTAATGATGATATTAATTTCTTTAATTAAAGATATATGAAATATCTAAGAAGAATAGTTTAAGCTAAATAAATTTAAACTATATAAATTTTATTAAAACAATAGCGAACTTTTGTTAAGAAATACTCCATGCTAAACTCAAAAGAATACATTAGCACGCTTAATAAAGTATACATTTGTCCACCCAACATTCAGCCTTCTTAGAGCCATACTTTTTAGACAAAAGAATTTCTATGTTGCCTTCAACCATGTTGTGGATGAACACATTCATCATCGGAAGATCATCCTCACCTTCCTTTCTAAAGAAAAGAATTGTTTGCCAAGTAGGACGTGCACGATCTCCCGGTTGCCCTCCCCACCAAGCAGAACTTGCCAAATAGTACACATATTTCCCTTTACCTCCCTTCATGTAAAATGAACATGGATGACTCAAAAACCAACTGGTATTCATCAACTCAACTTTATTAATCTCAATCCAATCCATCATCTTCCAATCAAGCTTATAAAATTTAAAGAAGTCGTAGGTCATAATTGTCACGACCCGACCCGAGACGGATCCCGCTCGCACCGGGTCGCGACACGGAACGAACAGACTAACCAGGATCTGGTTATGGAATTTGGTTCGAAATTGAATCTTCCAAATAATTTAACTCAAACAGACACACAAACACAGAGCTACTATAAATCATCAAACACAGCGGAACAAAACATCTATCTTTTCTTTTCCTCAAAACAATCATCTACAAATACAGTACATGGCTTTTAACCAGAAAGAAAGACAGAACAGAAAAGCCATGACTGTACAAAAATCAAAAGTACAAAACAATACCTACAGATCAGACTCTGAAATCTATTCCTGTACTTCTTTCCCTTTCCCAGAACCTGAAAACCACCAGAAAACAAGAGTGAGCTCAACAGCTCAGCAAAGCAACAAACCTCAAATCAAAATTCTCAGAATCCAAAACCAAATATATCAGACCAAAATCCAATCAGAAATCGGAACAAAATCGGTCAAATATCAAATCGGACAGATCAGAAC